AAAATTACCATTACACAATATAAAAAAGATCGACATTTTAAGTCACATTCGTGATAATTACGAAATTCCACTATGCTATGAAAAACAGAGATTTTTTTTTTGAAGTGGACGATAATAATTTTATTCGTGTAACGTTTGTATTGAATGACTAAAATGAATCCTATTGCAGATCCTTGGATTGGATGATAATTATTGACACAAGACTAGAATTAGCATCCCTAAATTGTTTTCCCAATAGAAAAAAATGAGTGAAGGTATTTTTTTCTTATACAGAAAATAACTATTTTAAAAATATGTAGTAACAATAAAGGATTTTACATCATAATTTAATATTTTGCTTTATTATAAAATAATATTTAACTAAATTCTATAAAGGTAAATAAATATTTACAAAATAAAATTTATTAAGCATTATCTGATCAAATGGATTTATTTTTTATTCTTAAGGATGCAAGTATTATATCATAAATTAACTTTTACAACACAATAAACTTTATCAAAATATCATCTAATTAAATGTTTTATTTTTTATTTCTTTATAACAACTAGTTAGTAAGTATTATATTATAAATTAACTTTTACAACATAAAATAAACTTTATCAAAACATCATTTAATTAAATAATTTTATTTTTTATTTCATTAGTATGTAAGTATTATATTATAAATTAACTTTTACAACACAAAATAAACTTTATCAAAGCATCATCTAATTAAATAAATTTTTTTTTATAATAACAGCATGTAAGTATTATACTATAAATTAACTTTTACAACACAAAACAATTTCCATTAAAACATCATCTATTAAATGATTTAACTTTACTTTTTTATAATAACTAGCAAGTAAGCATCATATAGTAATTTACAACACAAAATAATTCCTATTAAAAAATCATCTAATTAAATTTACCTTTTTATAATAACCAGATCGTAAGTATTTTATTATATTAACTACAACACAATATAATTTTATTAAAGCATCATCTAATTAACTCAATTTTAATTTGTATTTTTTTATTATAATCAGTTAGTAAGAATATTATTAATTTACTTTTACAATACAAAATAATTTCTATTACAACATCATCAATTAAATATATTTTGATTTATTTTTTTATAATGACCAAGCTTGTAAGTATTATATATTATTAATTTGCTTTTTACAAGATAAATAATTATTTCTATAAAAACATAATTTAAAACATCATCTAATTAAATGAATTTAATTTTTCCTTTTATATGGTGCAAGTCACCTAGTCCCGCAACTTGCTGCGCCTCGTGGCCAATTTTGGGAAAAATCATCAAAACTC